AAAAAAGGCCCAAAAAAATTTAAAAATCGTACATGAAATAGATCCAAATTTCACAATAATCTGATTTCATAATCAGCCGTGACAATAATTAATCACTATACCTCTTTACAACAAGAGAAATGATTTTTCTTACCATATATGTTACCGAGTAGAAATAATAGCAACAATCAACTTTGGAGCAAAATTTACAGTAATTATGATTTATTTACTCAGTGCAATTTGGTGCTTTACCTTGCTTGAAAATAACACAATATTGCGGTATAAAATGATAAATATTTGTGCAAAAGGTTATATTGTAACTTTTCTAAAGTTCCATGCAGTTGAACTACTTGAGCTTTATTATTTTTAACTTTTTCAAATTGCCAATCTACGTGTAATCCCATTAACTCTTCGAGATTATCTATATTTTGTGTATATACTCTTTTTAATTTTTTCATGTCTGCCAATTTTTTTATAAAAAAATGAGTGGCAGTTAGTTTAGCATTTACAACTAATTCTTTTAACAAGCCCATAAAAGATTAAATGCTTTAATAGATTCATTGGTTCTAAGTAAGCGAGCATGTTTGGAAAAGTAACTGTTAACTAGTTTTTAAATCAATAATTCATCCTTAGATATTTTCTTAAAATTAATCAAAATTTTGCAAATTTCATAAATCATTAGGAAAAGGATATCGAGTCTAATATATTAGATTTATAATCTTTACAATATTTCTAATAATGTTGTATACCAACTTTATTTAAAACTTAGTTGATCTCCGTAAATATAATTTTGTTTATTATTTTTTAAAATAACTTTCTGTGATTAAATGATATTATCTAATTACATGTTTTTCTAACCATTAGATAGTAAGTATAAACTAATTTATAGATTGAAAACTTTATAATAAATTATTATTAAATAATGATTTTATTAAATCACACCACTGGTATTAATACCAGTTCCTTAGCTTAGATAGTCTATTTTTGAACGGAAGTGTTAGTAACCCGGCTTATGATAAGAGTATTAACGTCTTGAAATCTATTAATTAAATTTGAGTCAAAATTAAGTGAAATAACGTAAATAAAAAATCTAGGTTCTAAATTGTTTCAGCATAAAGCATAATTCTTTTTATGCCATCAAAAAGATTTTGGCAATAAAATTAATACACTGTAGTATATTTATCAGAAATATGATGATTTTAAATATATTATCTTGCTTTGACATATAATTTTTGAATACGTATTATTAAAATTTTTATGCATATATATCGATATATGCTGGTTGACTTATGATTCCTATTAATTTATTTAAATAATTTTCTCAGTAATTGAATTAATAAACTAATGCGCAGCGTTATTTGAGCTCAACTAAACTACTGCACAGTGTTCCTTGAATTTTTAGGTGAATTTAACGATAGACCACTAAACTGTTACGCATCATTATTAAATTCTGCATAGCGTTCCTCGGTCGAACAGATGATGCATCAAACAATAAACATCAGTGGATCATCTTATAGCGCAATTTCTTTATAAGTTCTTACCTATCGAAACGCTTTCAATGTTTGGTATTCTGATTTAACAAAGATCTATATCGATACAAATACGTACATATATGTTCATTGAAATATTCTCAGAAAATAATAAAAACAAGAATTATACAACAACTGTGTATACAACAATCATTCAACTCAAATTTAATATATCGATATCAATAAAAAAAGTATCTACTATGATTTATGTTTTGTATTTTCAAATTGACCAAGAAACCAGCTTTCATAGCTCATATCTCAATAAATGTTGAAGCTATTTTGATTATTTAATAGTCAAAAGAAAGCTTAATATCTAAGTTTTCTTTTGAATATTGCCTCAAAATT